TTGCTTCCCCTCCCTGGGCTCGTGTGTTCCAGAAAGCACATGCATCCAGATCCCCAGTCTGAGAAAGGGGGAAATCTGTTTTATTTAAAGGGATGTGTAATTAACAAAACAAAAACAAAATAACCGTAATTTAGATTTTCAAAAAAGGTCACGGCAGAGGCTGGTCCTGTTAATGTGTGGAGTTTGATGCGGTGCTGGTGGTTCGAGCCCTTTAGGTGCCTCCTGTTCTTGTTGTTTAAAAAGCTCTTCTACCCCGAAGGCGGTCTGTGGACAAGTCCACCGGGTGTGAGAAACTAGAGTCCACGGCGCCCTCCAGGAACCTGTGTGTCCAGAGGTGGCATCGGGGGGCACGGCGTTCCCGGGGCGGCTGGGGGAGGACGACGGTCTGCCCCTTCGAGCCCGTCGGGCCACCTGGGCCGTCTCGGCTCCCACTTCTCCGGATGGAGCTGTGCATGGGCTGCGGCCTCGGCGCCGACTTGCACGGCCCGTGAGTGACTTGGGGCATCTTGGGGCGTCAGAGAGGCAGGAATCGGGGGGCGGTGTCGGGCTCACTCTCCTCGTCGTCTCACACCCAGGGCTGGCTGCGGGAAAATGTGAAAAAGCAGCCCTTGGTTTTAGTAATTTAATAGTTTTTAAATAATATATCTTATTCAAAGACACCTAGAGCGTTGCTTTGACCCGTGATCACCGTGAAAATATTAGTGAGACGTGTCATGTTCTTTCCTGTTAAGTGTACAAAATCAGCCGTGGATTTTGAACTGCAGAACCTCCATGGCCACGGGAGGCAAGGGCGGCCGTGTGGGGCCGTGTCGGGCTGTGCCAGCGTGGGTGGTGTGGTTCAGCCCCTCCGCTTACCAGAGGACCCGAGACCCAGAGGCCTTTGCAGCTCAGCAGGGGTCACCTGGCAAAGCGGGTGCTAAAACCCAGCCTCTGATTTCCTCCAGGCCCAAGGGGCAGAGCTCCCCCCAGCCCTGGGTGGTGTGGGTCTTTGGGGGCTGGCATGCTCCCTGGCAGCCACCCACCCAGGGCCTTGGGTCAGGTTTGTGGAGACCCATCCCCTTGGGTCTTGGGGACATGCTGATCTGTGGGCCTTAAGCCTTTGTCAGAGCATCTGGCCCACTAGTGAGGACCTAAGCGGCCCCCCGCTCTTTTCCTCGGCCTCTGGGCACATGGGACAGTGGGAGTGGAAGGGTCCTCGGGCAGGGCGTCTGCTGTTGGGGTCTGCTGGTCATAGACCCCCTTGCCGATCTAATGACAGCTCTGGGCCCTTTTGCAAGAAAATGGGAACCCCAGGGCTCAAGGAGCTGAATGGCCAGCCCTCCCACCACATGCCTGTGGGCAAGATGGGACAGTGGCCCCAGCCCTGAGTCTTGCTCAGGCCTCTCAGATTTAAATGAAATTTTAAGGGTTCTCCAATACACTGAACTGCTGCCGTGGCCCCCCACCACGTCCATGGCGCCCCCCGCCACGCCCGCGTCCCCGGAGATGGAGGCTGGCTGAGGCTTCATCCGCCGAGCGGTGGCGGCGTTCCTGTTCTGTGCCTGGTGCGGGGTCCATCCCACCAGGGAGGGGACACGGGCCTGGTCAGCAGGTAGCCGGTCACCAGACGCGACGTGGGGGTGTCAGATTTTTGCTGTCCTTTCCTGAGCATCGCAGCCCGTGGGGGTTCCTTCGTTGTCTCCTGGGAATAATCGTTCCCAGCAGTGACAGCTGAGGGTCAAGAATTACGCTCTCATTCATGAGCTGCGGGGACCTGAAGGGGCAGCACCGGGTTCTTGAGAAACGTGGGAACGCCCCGCCGGGGCCATATCAGACGAGGGAAAGCAGAGTGCTCGTTTGTTCTTGGACACCCCTCCCCACTCTGAGTCACCGCTTGCCTTGGAGAGAAGACATATGTTCTGATCACTTTTGTCTTCTCGGATTACAGGGCTGTTCAGCCCAGGGTGACTAAGTGGGAGCATTCTGGGGTCTCAAATGCTCTCAGCTGGGTGTTTCTATAGCGCAGTCACCATAGCACCACTGAGCCGGGAGCAGGAAAGGCGGCGGAGGGTGGGAGTGTGGAGCCAGCCACAGCGCCCCCCCGCCCGCCCGTCTGCGGCAGGGACAGGCTCGGGGCCATTTCCAGCAGCTCAGTCATGGGAGGTGCAGGGCCAGGCGGTGTTCTGTCCTCTGCACTTTTCCGGAGAGCTCCAGCACTCCTCCACGTTTGGGGTGTGGGTGTCCTTGCCCACAGAGCAAACCAGCGTGGCCCGGGCCCTGTGGGTGGGGCGTCCTCCACTCCCCGTCCCCCTCGAGGGGTGAAGTTCCTCAGTTGGTCCACGCTTCCAGGATCTGCCCAGTGAAGTTGTGGTCTCTCTCCGCAAGGAGCTGCATGCAGGAAAAGGAGGTCAGGAAAGCCGGCTGTCATTCCTCCACAGAAGTGGCAGCCCCGTGTCCCGGCTGGTGAGGGCAGTGCCCAGGCTGGGGTGCTCGGGGCAGCTGGATGGCCCGGGGGCCCGTGGTGGAAGCTGTCCGCTGCCCCGGTCCTCACGCCCTACCCAGGGCCGGCTGCCCCAGGGCGTAGCTCAGAAGGCTCTCCCGCCTGCTCCCCGGTAGGCGTGGTCCCCGGGGGGTCGGGGTGCCCCCCCAGCTCCTGCCAGGGCCCTGCTCTCCACCTCAGTCCCGTTCCCCCCGAGACCTGCACTGCTCCCAGCCGTTCTCAGAGCTTGTTTGAATAAATGGAAATCTTAAAAATAAAACACCACTCCCCCCTCCGCCCGTCCCCACCCCCGGCACAGGAGGCTGGCAGACCCTGCTAATGAGGCCAGCGCCCTGCCCCCCACGGGCCCAGCGCTGCTTTCTCTCCACTCCTGGGAGCAGGGAGCGCAGCTGCGAAAGACATACCACAGCCTAAAAACCCAGAAACCACGTGCGGGTCGGACAGTGGGGCTGGCTCGGGAGCTGTGTGTGCTCAGGGTGAGCAGACCCAGGGGGCCCCGCGTCCCGGTTTCCGCCCTGTCCTGTGCTAACCGTTCACAGTGGCCCCTCTCCTTCAGAGTCCCCGCTAGGTGACAGTTGGTGTGGAGGCCAGCAGTCTGGGCGAATTCCCATCTCCGTGCGTTAGCTCTCGCCCAGGCTTGCGGTCTCCGCATGCCTGGCCCACCCCCAGCCCACCTCTGTCCCGGGCCTGGCCACTGCTGAGTGGGTGGGGATGCTAGAGCAGCCCCCAGGGATGGGGACGTGGTGGCGCAAGGAGAGGGTGGATTTGGAGTCTCCCTGGGGGCTTAAACCCTCATCTTCTGGAACCTTGCAGGAACTTCTTCTTAGGGGGCTCTCGGGCACCGAGCTGAGCCGAGGAAGGCGCCCTTGCTGTGGGCCGCGGGTCCCTGACAAGGCCCCTGGGGAAGGGTGGGATGGTCATGGATTAGAGCACATCAGCACTGGGGCCCTGGGGGTGTGCGTGCCCCTTCCAGGCCCTTCCATCCAGAGGGTGCTCTCTCCTGGGCCTCTGTGCTCTGCTGTCCTCCCAGGCGCCTCGTGGGGCTTGTGGGAGGGGGTGTGGGTGTGAACGGCCCCCTTGGCAGCCCCCCTCTTCCACGGCCACTGCTGGATTCCTCCCCATGAAGCTCAGCCTTGCCCACTGTGCACCCCCCCGGCCCCCAGGGGCACCGCCCGGCTCCAGGCGTGCTCACCCACTTCCTGGAGTAGCTGTAGGGCGGGGGAACCGTGCGGGGCGGGGGAGGCAGGGCTGAGGGAGCAGAGCAGAGAGCCCGCCAGGGGGACCTCTTACTTGTGCCCAGACCTCTTTCCCAGGCTGGCGGGGCTTGCTCCCCAAGAGCCATCCTGGGTCCCCTCAGGCACACCGGGGCGGAGCCCGCGGCTGCCCGGGAGGCCCAGGGCCCGCTCCTTGAGGCTGTGGCCTCGGTGTGGCTGCCGGCAGTGGGCGGGCTCTTTGGGGCCCCTTTTAAGCTGCTGTCTCCAAGGGGGGCAGTGGAGCTCAGGGTGGTGAGGGGGGTGGTGTGCAGAGGCAGAGGGGGGGGCCCTGGGTTTTGCTGGCAGGGCTGGGCAGGCCTGGCCTTGGAGTAGTGTGGCTACTTCACGCTGGCTGAGCCCACGCGCTGGTGGCCAGCTGGGGACAAGCCACGCCCACAGGCTGGTCCTTGGCCCTCCAGCTGAGCGCTGCCGGGCAGGGAGGCAGCAGGAACAGCCTGTTCTGCGCGCCTCCTCCTGGCGCCCACCTCCACTCAGCACCGCCCACCCACGCTGAGTCAGAGCCGGTGCGGGAGGTGCCCCTCGGGGCAGGGAAGACCCCAAGGCCACAAAGACCAGCCCCGCAGCAGTGCCTCCCCGCGTGGGCAGTGGCCCCAGGTGCGGAGGGAAGCAGCCGCAAGGGGCTCCCTTCAGAAACGGCCAGGACCCCGCAGACCCCATCACACGCACACTGACGGGGCTCTGCAGAGCCCCGCACTGTGTGTCCTGCCTCCCCGTGATGGCTGCCTACAGTCTTGAGGGCGCTTTGTTACCGAAAGTTTCCAGCCTGCAAAATCAGAATGTTCCAGCATGCCCCAGCATCAAGCAGTGTCTCCTGCGTTCTCTGCCCACCCCCGCAGGATTTGGGTGTGAATTAGTCATTCTCAAACACATCGTGCCGGGCGAGCTTTCCTGGTCCACCAGCAGGGTGGTTTCAGATGCCTGGAATCAGGATCCACGGGAGGTGCCACGGTGCCGCCAGGCCTCATAATCTGCCAGCATGGTCCACACGTGTGTGGCTGCTGGGGCAAGAGGGGGCAGGGGTCGGGGGACACGAGCTCCCAGGGGGACAGTGGCCCAGTGGGGCATGGGGCTGCCCTGCTGTCATTCTGCCCGTGCCCTCTTGGCCCAAGTGGGTCGTCGCCAGGCCCACCCGTGGGCCGGCCGGACGTGCACTCCGCCCCTCGTGGGGCTGCCCAGAGCTGGGCGGGATCCTGTGTTGCCCTGTCAGCAGCTCGTGTGTGTCCCCCATGCTCTCCCCCGCCCCCCAGTACATCGACGCAATCAGCAACAAGCAGGGTGAGCTGGAGAACTACGTGTCGGACGGCTACAAGACGGCCCTGACCGAGGAGAGGAGGAGGTTCTGCTTCCTGGTGGAGAAGCAGTGCGCCGTGGCCAAGAACTCCGCCGCCTACCACTCCAAGGTGAGGTCTGCTGGCCGTGGGCTCTCGTGTCCCTGGTGGCCATCGGGGGCGTGTCCACTGTTGAGCTGTGTTGAAAGGAACACTGTGCATTTCAGATTCCCCCGGGGACAGCATTCTAGTAGGAGAGTCACTGGGCCAGACGCTGCAGACGTCTCGGAGACTTCGGTTAGAAATTGTTAGCGCTGTTTTGAGGACAGTGGCAGGAGGCTGGCTCCTCGGGGAGGGCCGCAGTGCCAGGGAGCCCCTCGTAGAGGGTCTGGAGGAGCCCCTGGGGAGGGAGCAGATCTGTCCGCTGGAACGTTCCAGAACATTCCAAGAGCTCAGCAGATCCTTTTTCCTTAAAGGGGTCTGCGGATCAGCGGGGTAAGTGCACGTTCACGCACGTGTGCTTGACGGGGGACATGCTCTGCAGTCCCCACGGTCTGGGCTGCGTAGGAGAGAGACGCCCTCCCTCTGCAGAGCGGCTCTGCCTCCCGGGCCTGCCTGAGGGCCCGCTCCCAGGTGCGAGGCAAGGACAGGGAAGGACCTGCGTCCCCTGTGGGAGCAGCCACCGGGGAGCCACCGTGGAAGCAGCTGTGAGCTGCGGAGCGGGGGCGGCCGCTCGGCCCGCACAGTTCCCAGCAGCGCTGCGGTGGGCGGCGGCGCCCTCTGGCGGCAGCCGGGCCCCACGGCAGGTCACAGGGAGGCTGCGGGCTCGTTGGTGCGGCAGGCGGCAGAGAGGGCAGGAAAGCCATTGTCACTGCGAGAGGTGAGAGCTGACCTCCCAGGGAGCTGGATGCAGCCCTCCCAGGCGGATCTAGAGAGGCCCAGGGCAGGACCCCCCCAGGCTCTTCCCTGCAGCAGGCCACCAGGCATCTCCCCGGCAGGTGGGTCCTAGCCCCAGCGACGCGGTTCATCACCAGGTGGGAGCCCTGGGTTGGCCGGTCAGCCCAGCTGTGGAGCCCTTCCGAGAGCCACGCCCTGACCCTGCAGGTGCCCCCGTGTGGTGCTGGATCCTTGGGGCCTTGTCACCACCACCCAGACCTATCAACCAGTTATCTCAGCCAGGGTCCAGGTTAACATTTTGGGTTTGGGCCGTAGCACGCAGAAGCAGCCCCAGATGTGTGGAGGAGCAGATACAGCTGTGTTCCGATCAAACTTCGTTTACAAAACAGGCGGCCGGCGCCCGGGCCACGGTCTGCTGGCCCCTGGTCTCACCCAGCGCGCAGTGGAGGGTGTGGCCTGCTCACAGGGCCTTTTTCTAGCCTCTTCCACGTCTCCCACACAGATGCCCCCTCCGTGCCCAGACACAGGTCAGAGTGGGGAGAGGCAGTGAGGGCCGGACAGCCCCTTCGGAGGTCTCAGGGACAGTGATTGCCCCGAGCTAGGGAGCACTCCACCCAGGGGAGCTCCAGGCTCTGCAGTGGCACACGGGTGACCGCGTCTGCTACAGGCCAGGTAGACACTTTGGCCAAACAGGAGGGAGGGCACAGCTGCCCCCAAGCCCTGGACAGGCCCATGAGGTGGGCGCCAGACCCCAGCTGGGCTGCAGGGAACCTCAGGCTGGCGCCCCACTCGGCTGTCCCTCATTTTGGGATTCCTCACCAGACCCGTGGCTTTGTCATGTTTTGTTAGGCCCGTGCTTGTCCGGCTAGCTGCGCCCTGGGCACACCCCGATGCACACTGGAGGGACAGCTGGGCTCTCGGGCCCCTGGGTTGGGGGCAGGGGCAGTTGTCACCTTGCATCTATCTGGTACCGCATGATGGGGTCTCGCCTTCCTGCACCCGTAGCTGGGCCTGACCGCGGCTCGGGACCCCAGGATGACGCTCTCCCCAGGACCTCATGGTTGCCCATGGAGCGTCTGTCCCTTTTTCCTTTTTTGGCGGCCCCCGGCCAGGTTGGACCTTCATTTTTGTCTCAGCCCGGCTGGCCCCATGACTGCATGGCTTATGGCAACAGCCCGCCTCTTTCCCAGGCTGGGGGTCAGGGACCCCCGGGGCCCCATCTGGCTGAGTCATCACCTGGTGTGGAGCAGCCGAGAGCCTTAGGCAGGTGTGCCCCTCCTGAGTGGGGGAGTGTGTCTGGGGCCGGGCCCTTGTGGCCCTGCGGGGACGGCCCCCCGCTGCGTGCCCGGCCCTGACCCTGCCCCGTCCTGCTTCCTCTGCTTCAGGGCAAGGAGCTGCTGGCACAGAAGTTGCCACTGTGGCAACAGGCCTGCGCCGACCCCAACAAGATCCCGGACCGTGCGGTGCAGCTGATGCAGCAGATGGCCGGGAGCAACGGCTCCATCCTCCCCAGCACCCTGTCGGCCTCCAAGTCCAGCCTGGTCATCTCAGACCCTATCCCGGGGGCCAAGCCCCTGCCGGTGCCCCCCGAGCTGGCCCCGTTTGTGGGGGTGAGTCTGCGGCCTCCAGCAAGCTTTATGGGTGTGGAAGGATGGCCCCCACGCTTGCACCGGGGTGGCCGGGGTGAGGGGTTCCCATGCCGGCCTCACCTGACCAGGCTCTCCCGCGACGCCACCCCCCCCATCCCTCGCCTCTTCTCCACAGCGGCTGTCTGCCCAGGAGAGCACGCCCGTCATGAACGGCGTCTCGGGCCCAGATGGTGAGGACTACAGCCCCTGGGCCGACCGCAAGGCCGCCCAGCCCAAGACCTCGTCTCCTCCACAGTCCCAGAGCAAGCTGAGCGACTCCTACTCCAACACGCTCCCCGTGCGCAAGAGCGTGGCCCCGAAGAACAGCTATGCGGCCAGTAAGGGCTCGGACGTGCCCCCAGCCCCCAGCTGTCACACCATACCCGAGGGGAGGTGGGGGAGGCCTCCCTCAGAGCCCCGAGCGTGTGCGTGCCCTGGTGCGGCCCCCTTGGGCCCCCGGTGAAATCTCTGTCCTGGAGCCTCAGGCTTTGCCTGGCTCCCCTCAAGTCGACACGATAGGGCGGGGCTGTGCCAGGACATCTGGGCTCAGCCTGTGATGGGAGCACGCGGGCGGTGCTTGGCAGGGCTGTAAGGGACAGTGGGACAGCCCCCCCTCCCAGCCGGTGAGGGTCTGCCGATGAGCACGTGGGAAAGCTGAGGTCCAGGCCCAGAATGCCCCACAGCTGGTGAGCGGTAGGTCTGCAGCTGGATCCGCCTCTGCAGCATCTGGGTCCTGCCCAAACGAGCGTCCCCCTCCAGGCCCGCCCGGGGCCTTCTAGCACCTTCCCGTCAGGCTGAGCCGACAGGAGGACAAGCACGTCGTCCCCTCATTCCTACCCTGTCGTCCCGACAGCTGAGAACAAGACCCTGCCGCGCTCCAGCTCCATGGCGGCTGGCCTGGAACGCAACGGCCGCATGCGGGTGAAAGCTATCTTCTCTCACGCGGCCGGGGACAACAGCACCCTGCTGAGCTTCAAGGAGGGAGACCTCATCACCCTGCTGGTGCCTGAGGCCCGCGACGGCTGGCACTACGGGGAGAGCGAGAAGACCAAAATGTGAGCATCCGCAGGCCGCCCCCCTCCCAGCCAGCTGTCGGCCCGGGCCCGGATAGCAGGCCTCCTGACCCTGCGGCCCTCAGACGACCTGGCGGCTCGCGTCCTTTCCAGACTGACTATCCCGCCGTGGGTTTTCAGTCGTCCAATCTCGGCGGCACAGACCGTCTCTCACCAGCCCATCACCCTCACCGCCCGCGTCACCCACTTGGCCCAGAGCCCCGCACGCACACGCCGCGGCCCGTCTGGCACCTACCTTCCCTGCTGTCGGGTGTGTGGCTTCCCAGTTGGCAGAGGCCAGCCGTCCACCCCAGGCCTTCTGCTGCCCAGTCTCCTCTGTTCAGCCTGTGTGCTGGGCCATCGGGTCACAGGACCTGTGTCTTCACGGCTTAATTTAACCCCCGTGGCCCCGAGGTTCTGCCAGCCTCTCGTTCTCGAGCCACCGTGGGGCTGCCCTGGTCAGGAGCCGCCCCTTCCCCCGAGCACCACTGTCGTCTGGAGGTGGCTGGTGGCGAGATGGAGACTCGCAGCCCCTGCCTGCCGTAGCCAGGGACGGAGGGGCTGGACGCAGCTTGGCTCCCGCCTCCGGGCGGCCGCCATCTGGGGAGGGGGTGATGAGCGGGGAGAGGCTAGGACACATCCTTCCCAAACGGCACCCCTGCCTGCTCTCCAGACGGCTGCTCTGCTTTGTCGGTGCGGCCGGAAACCGGCCCTGGCCGCCGCGGGCGCGGGCGCTCTGCCGGCGGTGCCCAGCCTCCCGTCCAGGGCCCGTGTGTGCCCAGGGTGCCGGCGGGGTCTGCTGTTGCTCCGAGCGCCTGCTTGTGTTCGCTAGAGAGACGGCTGCAGCCAGGCCGGGGAGCCGGGGGCACCCGGGCCCTGGGGCCCTCTCACCTGTGCTCTCTCCTCCAGGCGGGGCTGGTTTCCCTTCTCCTACACCCGGGTTCTGGACGGCGATGGCAGCGACAGGTTGCACATGAGGTGAGCATGCTGACCCAGGCTGCTGGCCCTTCGCTCTGGAAAGGTTGCCGCGAGAACAGGGCGCGGTGGGTCTGTGAGCCGCGCCCGCTCTCTGCTCAAAGGGCTCGGCCGGGCTCTGGTCCCCTCCCGCCCACAGTGCTGCCCCCACGCCCGGCATGCTGCGTGTTGAGGTTCCTGGGGGCTGTGGGTGCGGGCCGCTTTGTGAGGAAGGTCACCGGGTGCTCTGTGGGTGGGGCTTCCCTTGCCCCCTCACTGGGCCCGGGAGCACACCCTGCTGTCGCCTCCCTTGGGCAGGGTGTGCGGGGCCCCAGAAGGGGCCGAGCGGCGCCGAGAGGACTGGGTCGGGGTGGGGTGCACGGGCTTTAGGAATTTCCTGCCGCCGCACCTTCAGGCCCGGTTCCGCTGGCTCGGTGAGGCTGCAGCCCCCCGTTAGGCCTTCTTGAAGGGCCTGAGGGAGGCGTGGGGAAGGTGGAGGGTTGGATGGGGTCCTGGGGGCCGGGGTGGAGCCAGCCCCTAAGCCTCTGCCCCACAGCCTGCAGCAGGGGAAAAGCAGCAGCACGGGGAACCTCCTGGACAAGGAGGAGCTAGCCCTCCCGCCCCCCGACTACGGCGCAGCCTCCCGTGCGTTCCCTGCCCAGGCAGCCGGCACCTTCAAGCAGAGGCCCTACAGTGTGGCTGTACCTGCCTTCTCCCAGGTGAGCGCCGCGGGAGGGGCCCCAGAAGCGGCTCTACTGAAGGCCGAGGTGGTCCCGCTGCCTGGCCTTCCCTCCGGGTGGGGCATCGGTGGCCTTCAGGCCTCCCGCCTCGCAGGGGGCCTGGGCATCAGGGAGGACTTCGTGTCCAGGAGCCCCCTCCCTGAGGCTCTTGGGCTCCGGCAGTCACGGCCCGAGTGTGGACATGAGCACTCGCGTTCGAGTCCTGGGATGTGGCCAGAGGCTTCTTGGTGGTGTGTCTCTGGGCCTCGGGAGGCAGGGCCAGGCACGCATGCCCAGGTCACCCGGTACCAAGTGGCCAGAGGCAGGAGGTCAAGGCCTGGGTCCCAGGTGCGGGTCCCCAGTAGAGCCCCTGGAGTGTACGATGGTGGTTTTGAAGCCCAGGTGGGGTCTGGGTGTGAGCGTGGACGGCATGGCTCTGCGGGGGAAGGTTCGTAGTCGTAGGAGCCCGAGGCTTCTGGAACACTTGTCTGCTGTGGCCACGTGGGGAGTAGGGGCCAACAGCTTTGCTCTCGGTTGCAGTCTTCGGGACTGGGCCCCAACATGGGGGTCAGCGCCCCAGCCCCCGGGAGCGGGGAGAAGGGGAGTTTCTCTAAGATGTGGGCAGCAGGTGCTCACCTGGGTCTCCGCCTGCCCGGCTGGGGTGAGTGGTGGTGTAGGTGGGTGAGGTCCAGGAGAGGCCCCACTCAGCACCGTCCTGAGCAGCCTCGCCCCCACCCTTCCTGTGAGGTGGGCGTGACCATCGCGAGTGAGGTGCTGTGTGTGAGGGAGCGGTCTTGGAGGAGCTTACGGTCGGGCAGAGACAGTTACGTGGTGGGAAGGACCAGACCGGGGAGGTGTAGCTAAGGCCCGGGACGGAGCCTGGCGGGGAAGGTGAGGCTGGTGCTGGTGCTCAGGGCAACAGCAGCAGGGAGGCCGATCCAGCTTGGGAGAGGCGTGGCACCTCGGGGTCATGGGTCCAGCCTGCTGGGTGGGAGACGCTCCAGCCGCGTCCAGCCCCGCCTGGGCCCAGGACACAGCTGGCTGAGCCTAGGCCGGCCTGGGCACTGCACGCTGCTCCCACTTCCCGGCGTCCAGGTTTGGTTTTGGCGCGGAGACAGCCGAGGAGGGTGTCCCCAACGGCCCTTGATGGCCCTAGGCCAGGCCGGCAGAGCTGTGGTGGTGTCCACAGCCCCTCCCTCGGCCCCATAGCCGGGGCGCTGCCGCTGGTGTCTCGGGGCGCAGGGGCATGCTCTGCCCAGGGACTGGCCCAGGCTGGCTTCTCCGCCTGGCCCTCACCCCCTCCCTGCAAGTGTCACTGGTTCCCAGGGAGGCCCCCCTGCCTGCTCCAAGACGTAGGTAATCCCACGCTCGCCTGCCTTGGTGCTCTCATCAGGTGACCACAGCCCCTGACCGCTCACCACGGGACGTGTGCGTGGAGGGGGTCATCGGGGGATGTGTCTTGCTTGTGCCCCTGAGTCTGAGCTCATACCATGCATGGTCTGCCGCTGGCCAGATGAGGAGATGTCCCCGTGAGTTTGGGATGTCACTGCTGTGCACGTGGGAGGGGCCCTCCACGCTCTCGGCTGCAGGCAGTACCGCGTGCCCACTCGGGTCAAGGGCGGTGCGCCCAGCCTCCTCTTGTCCTGCAGACCCCACCTCGCCCCCAGGACCCCCGGCCTAACCTGGGTTGCCTTCCCTCCCCAGGGTCTAGAGGACTACGGAGCGCGGGCTGTGAGCAGGTAAGGGGCTTTCACACTTGTCCTTGGGAGCTGTGGGTGGGTAGGGCCGGCCCCCTCACAGACCCTCCAAGGCCTGCTCTGTGGGGGCCTGGCTGGAGACTGTGGAGGCCCCACTCTGGGTCTGGGCAGGCGGGGCCCAGGGTGCCTGTTCTCCCTACCCCTTACTTGTCTGAGTGCTGGGGGTCCTAGGGCAGGAGCCCACGATCCCAGGGTCCTGCCGAGTGGGTCCGGAGAGCCACCTTCGTGCTCTGACCCTGGGTGGGTGGCAGGGGGCCCTGGACCGCGGGAGCGCAGCCTGCTCCGGTGCCCACCGCAGCCGCCGGGGCTCCCGGTCGTCCCCGCTCTTCCGTCCTGGTGGCCCTCGTCCCGGCTCAGGGTGGGGTGGGGGCTGCTTCCGCCCCTGCTCCGGGGCCAGGCAGCCGGCTGACCGGAGTGGCTGCAGGAGCGGTGTGCGGCCCCGCAGCGTCCTGTGCTTTGTTCCGCAGCGGCAGTGGCACCCTGGTGTCCACGGTGTGAGGACGCTGACCACGGGCAGCCGCTGCTCGGGAGAGCCCCCCCACCTGTCTGGCCTCCATCGGTTCCCTCCTCCGCTCTTGTTGGTTTGTTCTCGGGTTCTTTTTCTTTCTCGCCTGCCCTGTCCCGCCTTCTGGTTGGTGACCCCAGACTCTGAGATCCCCCAGGGTCCATGGTGCTGCCCCATCTCTGCCCCCCGTGTTTACACACCCCCAACCCCGTGCGTCCGCCAGGCGGGAGCTGCTGGCCAGGCAGCGGGGGCCAGGCAGCCTCACGTCTGCTCCGCGGCTGCCATGTTCACAACGCACTGTCCCTTTTTGAAGGCTCACCGTGAGCCAGGCCTAAAGTTTGAAGAAAAAGAAAAATCTTAAAAAAAAAAAAAAAAAGAAAAGAAAAAACAGGAAAAGGACTTTTCTTTCCTGACAAACAAAAGCAGATCTGCATGGACTCTGGTGTGCGTACTGTTACTCCTGCATCTGACTCCCCCAGCGGACACGGACCCCTGTGTCAGGGGAGGGGAGGCTCGCGGCCCCGCAGGCGCCCCCTCCCAGGGCCGCACCGACAGACAGGCTCGTGCCAGCCGGGGGGCCTCCTGAGGAAGCCGGCCGCTCCTGTGAGGGAGGCCACGGCCCCCGGCCCCGTGCAGCCCAGCAGCCCGGGCCCCTGAGCGCTTCCTTCTCCGCGGATGCTTGGGCCGGTGTACAGACCAGAGTGCGGGCGGGCAGCGTCCCCAGGGCCGTGTGACCTCACGCGGTGCCAGGCGGGGCAGGGGCGGGCAGGTGCGGCCCCTCGCGGACTTTCCAAAGAGCTCCAGAGACCACCCCCCCCAACGCGTTCTGGAAACCACCGGACAGCCTTGTGAGGGAACCGTGGCCCCCAGGCCGCCAGGGGCTGGCCCTGGGGAGGGCGGCTTTGCGCCTGCCACCCCGGGGGTGGGGGGGTAGGAGGCAGTCCCTGCCCCCGTCCTCCCTAAACGCTCTCGTCTTTTTGTGTGTCTTGGTGACTTCCGAAGCGGACATGCTGGACTCTGCAGCTACTGGTTTGGCCTCTTCACACCCTGAATCTGGGGCAGGAGCCGGGGTGCAGTCCCGCCCGGCCCCTCCCGCCACGGGAGCCCCTGCCAAGCTGTGGACGCTCCTTTTTCTAACGTGATCTAACAAAACCCTCCACCCGCTCTCCTGTGGACTAGGATGTGGCTGGGAGTGTTTGTGAGAGAAGCAGCTCAAGACATAGACGCATTTTATATTTAAGGAGAATACAAAGCCAGAACGTGGATCCATGTACAAAGAGCCTTCCGTGTTGGTGTTCTAATTTTGCTAAAAGATCTCAAATCCAGGGGATTCCATGCTCAATGGATGAATGTAGACACAAAACTGCGACACTCGTATGAGGATGTAAAGTGCTCAAAATATTTTCCTGTTTCCTTTCCTTTTTTTTTTTTAAATCTGAATTGTGCTCTGTACTGCAGTCGTTTGAATAAAAGTTTTATTTATTGCACTGAGCTGGGTGTGGTGCCTCCTTCCAGGCTCGCCGTGTAGATCTGGGCGGCCTCAGTGAGCCGGCCTCCGTCCAGGGACTGAGCTGCGCAGACGGACAACGTGGTCACTGTCCTCTCGGGGGCCTGGGCCACGTGGGCTGACTGGGGACGCCTGCCGCGGGCAGCCCTTTCCTGTTCCTCCCTGCGGCTACCCGGTGGCAGGGCCGCGTGCCCCTGGCGGGGTCCCCCCACCCCCCCACCCACCCACCCGCACCAACAGAGTCCTTGTGTTTCCTTGCAGCGCTGATGTGGAAGTGGCCAGATTTTGAGCTGACCCTGACTAGAGTTAGTAAGTTGCCCTGGTTTTCTCATGCTGGTCAGTCTGCCTTCCCAGTGGTTCTGCAGACCCTCTGGCCTTGGCCCTGGCAGGTGGGGACGGGCACGAGGGTCTGCCGAGCCTGCCTCTGCTCTGGGTTCTGGGCTTTCGCTTCCTCTTGGATTGCTCCTCGGGCTCTGGGATTTCCTCTCTCTGTCTGGAAGCTTGTGGGCCTGACTGGCTGCACCCCTGCTCTGCTGGGCGTGGTCCGGCCCTGGCCCTCTGCCTGGGTCTCCTGCCTCCGTGGGGCCCTTCGGCCACAATCGGGGGAGGCCAGCTTTGGGCTCCTCTGGCTGAGTGTCCCCCGGACTGGCCCCTGTGGGTGTGGGTCTGAGCCCGGCCTGGCCGGCTCTCTGGTTGGCGAGCGCTGCAGCCCCTCGGGGGGCCAGGGAGACCAGGGTCGGTCTTGGGGACAGCTCCGTGGCTCATGCCCACGTGGGTGTCTCGGGCACACCGGAGCAGGTGGACCCGGGCTTTGCCGCCTGTTCTGGCTGGACTCACCTCACACCTGCCCTGACGTGACTCCACGAGGCTGCAGCAGGCTTTCCAGACCAGGCCTTCGGCCACCACGTGTGGGTGCCCTGGCTGGCCTTCTGCAGCCCGTCCTGTGATGGTCCCTTGCACTCAGCCCTGGGAAGGCAAGCGCCAACAGCGAGCGGGTGGGCGGGGAGCCCAGCACTCTGGGCCCCTGTGCCTGGGACAGGGCGCACTGCTGCTGCCTGTCCCCACCCACCCAGTCACCAAGAAGTTTGCCCCATGAAGCTAGCACCTGCATCCTCCATACCCCACAGAGCACCCCAGCAGTGTGGTCCTCCCCAAGGGCAGTGACTGCCCCAACAGGTGCTGGACTCACTCGCCTTTCAATGTGTCTGAGCTGCAGCGTGAGGAACTTCTGGAAAGTTCTGGAGACAAATGCTCCTGACATTTGGGGACAGGGTGGAAAGGCCTTCCCTGCCTCTAGGTTCCTCCTCTTCCAAGAGGCCCTAAGAGGCCTGCACCTCCCACCCCCACTGCTCCTGCAGCCCCCGTTGCTCTGGAGCCCAGCCTGGCCTCTGCCTGAGCCCTGGTCCCCAGTGCAGGGCAGTCCCCTGGCCCCCGGGGGTGCCGTGGGCATCCACACCACGCCACCAGCTGGCTTCCCCCCCAAAGAACCGGCCCAGCCCCGAGACTGGAGATTCAGCGGGGGGTGGAGAGTCAGAAGCCCCTGGGTTGGTTGAGGCGCCCTGGCCCGCTCTGCCGAGCTGCGCCCCCCAAGGTGCGGTCCTGGCGCAGAGCAAGGTGGACTCAACGCCAGGAGGGCCAGAGTCCTGGAGGCATGAGAACCGCTGTGCCTCAGAGGACATTCCGGAGAAAGTGGACATCTGCCCCAGCTGCTCTCCGCTCCCTCTGCTCCAGAGTCACAGGAGGACAGAAACCGCATCCGAAACGACTTTTTCACACTCACGTAGTGGACTCAGGACAGTTAAGGCCACTCCCTAAACCTGCGCAGGATTTGAATGGGAAGGTGCTGGGCCTCGGCGCTTGGCCCCCCTCGGGCCGTAGGGTTTGCAGGCAGGGGCTCCGTGGCGCCCCGAAGGGTGGCCCCTGGAACCCAGTACTGGATCTGCCCCCCACGGTGGGGTCGCAGCTCGGGAGCTCGCTGCGGGCCTGCTCCGCTGAGGTAGATCCATTCCCTGTCCGAGGTCCTGCTCCGGAGTCCTTGCCGGGGTGTGCTCGGGGGGCGGGGCGGGGGGAGTCGCAGCCGCGCCCGTGGGAGACGCCTGGGCGGCTCCTGACTTGGAGCAGACCCGCCATCCCGGGCCTGCTGTGCTCGGGTGGTTCCCGTCGACTGCGCTTTGCTGGCAGGACTCGAGCTTCCTTGTGTCTTGGGGGTTTGTGGTCAGCGTCCGCGACGGTGCTCTTGGGAGGAAGCCTCTGTCCCTGGCGCTCTCCCCCAAGCAGTGACCCATGTCCGCAGGACCAGAGACTGTGCGCTGGGCCTCGGGTCCGCATTGTGTCCTGTTGCGTCAGGTCGGCGTTGACCCGCCCAGGGTCACACGGACGCCTGCCCTCGGGTAGCCCTGGAGCCCGCGCTTCCCCAGGAGGTGGTCGGCCCCCGCCTGGGCCGCACCTCCCCGTGGTGCTGCGGGGTGGGCACGCCCCAGCCAGAGGTCTCTGGCCGGGCCCGGGCAGGGGCCGTGAAGGGGAGGCCCGGGCAGAGTTCAGCCCCTGCCCCTTTCCTCAGGACCCGCAGTGTTGATGGTACCGCACTCCACGGTCACGCGGTTTTGGGGAAGGAGATTAGGAAGGTGGGGGTCAGAGGCCAGACACCCTCTCAGGGTGTGGGGGCCTCTCCGGCCCTGCTGCTCCCCCTCCAGCCCCAGCTGACGACGCTGCTTTGCCACCAATCCTTTCTGATGAGGGTTCAGGTGTGCCCAGGGCAGGATCAAGGTGTGTGCTGCCCAAACCCGCTTGGCCATTCTGCTCTGGCTCCGCTCAGCACGGGACCTGCCCTTCCTTCTCGGCCACGGGGCCTGTGCCCTTTCCTCTGCTCGGTCCCCAAGCCCAGACGAACAGACCTGCCCCGTTCCAGCCCCCCGAAACATCCTGCCTTGACCCTGGCTGGGGACAGCCACGGGCCTGAAGCCTTCCACTAGAACCAGAGTCTAGTCAAGGTGGCAGGCAGGGCATGGGCCACCCTCCACCCTCTGTCCTGGGGGCAGATGTCCCCGGTCACAGCAGTCTTGGCCTGGGGAGCCCTGAGGCAGCCGCTGCCCCTGACCATCAAAACTGAAGCTCTGCACACATCGGCTGGAGAGAGGACTGGAGCGCGTGGAGGGGCCTGGGGCTGGAAGCGGCCTGGAACCCCGGGGGTCACAGCACTCCGGATCGGAGGACGTTCACAAGCAGCGCACCCTCGCGGGATTCTCGGTCGTCAGCTTGCAGATGTAGAAGCCATGCGCCAGTAGGTCGGCTCCTCTCCCTAGTTTATCCTTTCAAAAGTTCAGTCCGAAGTGTCTCCGCGTTTTAGAAAACAGGGTGGTGCCCCCACCCCCACGTGCTCTCGCTGGGCGCTGCACGGAGCGCCCGCCCACCCAGCTCCTGCGGACACCAGCCCAGCTGCACCAGAGGCGACTGCGCCCCAGGTAACGGCTCGAGAGCCGAGTGCTTCGCCAGGAGTGCGTCCTGTCCGTGCCGAGCCCCCCGTGTCCCACGTTCCATCTGTGCTGTCACCCCTGGGGCTGCCTGATGACCCCCAGCCCGCTGTCCTCGGCTGTCCCTCCCAAGCCCAGTGGGGACTCCGAGGAGGGGCTTCTGTGAGGACCAGACTGGGTGCTGGTCTCTACTGCGCTCATCTCGTCCCATCTCAACCTCTTGTCTGGCCAGTCCGTCTGTCCGTCAGCTGTGGCCTCAGACCTGCGGGGATCGCTGCCAGTGTGCGTGCACCCCCTGTGTGTCGTGTTGGCGTGGGGCGGGCCGAGGCCCCCTGTCTGCAGCCAGCCGCGTTCCGGGACCCCGGGATGCATGGGCCGGGGTCGTGAGAGCTGCTGAGCTGTGTGTGTGTGTCGGCGTGTCTTTAAAAACGGGCCCGCTCCTGCTCTTGGGCAGGTGTCGGGTGCCTCCGGGGCCTTATGGGGCGGCTCACCAAGCCTGGGTGCAGGCCCATTCAGGACCACCTCAGGTTTCGGAGGAAGAACTGGCTCCTGGCCCACCGGGCCGCTCCCCACACCCCCACCCGCCCTGCCCCAGGAGGGCTGACGGCAGCAGGTGGGCGCATCGGCAGGCAGCCGGCCCCGCGGACAGCCCTGCCCCGGCTGTCCCCAGCAGGCTCCATCGCGGCCCTGCTCCGGGCTCAGAGGCTGGGCCCTCCGCGGGGCTGCGGGACCCTGGGGCGCACGCAGGGCAGCCCGGGAGGCACAGCGCCCCTCCCACGCTAAAGCCACTCTTCTCTTCTCTCCTCAGGAATCCCTTCGCCAACGTCCAGCTGAAGCCAACAGTGACCAATGACAGGTCTGCTCCCCTCCTCGGCTGATGGCCAAGTCCCCGCCGCTGCCCGCCGGGCCCCTCTTCTCCTCCCCCACCCACACACACACCTCTTTTGTAACGGTCTGTGTGGTCCCTGTCTAGAGAATGTTCTCCTCCTCCCACGCCCTTCGCCTGCCTGGCTCTGCCCCCACTTCAGTCTGGCCTGGGCTGGATCCCGGCCGTTTCTTCGGAGGTGGCCCCTGGGCCGTGGCCGAGGAGAGTGAGTGGGGCCGGCCCCGGAGCTGGGAGCTGCCCCCGGGGCGGTGCGGCCAGCCTCTCAGGCAGGCCCGCCTGGCTGTGTGGGCCGTGGCCCCCAGGTGCAGGGAAGGGTGTTCGGTCAGCCTGTAGCCGGAAGGGGAGCCCGGCTCCCACACCGCTCAGAGCTCCCAAGTGTCTGGTCAATAAACAGGCTGACCCACCTGTGCCTGCCTGTGATCTGTCGGCCTGAGGGGGGCGGGAGGCCTGGGGCAGAGGAGCGGGGGAGACCAACACCTTTCTCTGGAAGATGAATTTATTAGGAGCCCTCGACTGGGACTCTGCTGAGCCTCCCCACTCCTGCTGGCAGTTCTGGGGGGCCTCTCTGCCCCTCCCCACCCAAACCCCAGCCTCCCTCCAGAACTGGCTGCGGGGCCCCCAGCTCTCCTCCGCGTCCCTGGAGTGAACAGTGGGTGCCGTTGGCGGGGTGGGGGGTCCCCCACCAGCTGCTTCCACAGTATTTGTGGATGAAATACACCCCTGGTGACCAGCACAGTGACCAGCAGTCCCCATCTGAGGAGCCGTTCCAGGCAGCAGTCACCCCTCCCGCCAGGCTCCTGAAGGAGGGGTTCAGCAGCCCTGATCTGACCGAAGTCTGTCCACAGCCCAGGAAGAGAAGCAAAAGGGGTCGCTGGTAGGGCAGGTGGGGGCACAGGCCTCTGGCCTCGCAAGAGCTGGGCCAGGTGGGGTCTTAGGGCAGATGTTTGGGGTAGAGATGCACAGAAGCCCGGACTCCTCAAAAACCCTCTTGCCTGCCGCTCACCCTGCCCCCACCCCCGTGCCCTGGGAAGGCGAGGGGCAAGAATGTCCAGGGAGGTGTGTGGGTCCCCCCCACAGGACAGGAAGAGAGGGCTGCTGCCGCCGGTCCCCTCCCCTCCCCAAGTCACTGTCCCCCCTCCACCGAGGTGTGCCAGGGCAGCTGGGGGGAAAGGGTGGCCGCCCTCTCGCATCCTCCCCTCCCGTGGTCAGGAGGGACTACCGTGCCCTGGGCAGACCTGGCAGCTGAGTCCCCACCTCAGCACCACCCAGGCCCCCTCCTGCCCAGCGCTTTATGTGCAAACCACAAAAGAAAACACACACTTAGCACGAAGGCTTTTTTTTTCTTAAGCTTGATTTCTTTTAAAAAACAAACAAAAGAGGAACAAGAAAATCATTGCACCAGCATCCTAAGCCTCAAACTAATCAAAAACAAAAAACACAAACCCAAAACAAGTCCCCCACCCACACCCCCAAAGCAACAATAAACTTTACGTCTCTTTGGCAACAATAACTTAAAATCATCCCATTTCCATTCGCTCAGACAACAGCAGTTACAAAAATATTCCCTGTGCTGCCCTGCCCCCCGCTTCCCCCCAGCTCCACTCCTTCCCGTGCCCGCACTCCTGCGGGCAGAAGCCCCTCGCACTGTGGGGGTGCAGCCCCCCCACTGTCCTTTCGCGGCTGGGCCGGTCTGGGCAGTGCCCTGGAGGGGGAGCTGGACATGCCAGCCAGCCACAGGCACCTCTAGAACAGGTGTGGCTGGGAAGCCCCCCACCTTTCAGGCTGCCCACCCTGACCCACCCGCCCGGGGTCCAGCAGCGGATTCAGGGGGGAGCTGGCCCAGACCACGCGGGGGAGGGAGAGTGTATGGGTCTAGCCGAGTCAGTGAAGGGAAACACAGCCACAGACTTTGAGGTAAGGGTGGTGGCGGGGGGGGACACATAAGCCCAGGGTCCTCTTCTTGCATTGAGCAAACCCAGAACCAGGCAGAAGGGGCGAAGGGGGCAGAGAGGGGCTGTCCCAGCAGGCCTGTGCCCATTCTCTCACCTGGGGTGAGGACACAGTGTCCTGTAACTCCCCACACGAACTGGTGGGCAGGGCATGCAAGGCCCCCCAGCCAAGAGCAGGTCCCCTGGCCTCAGAAGCCAAGCAGCCCGTTAGCAGGGTCAGGGTGGAGGGGCAGCTGTAGGGTAAGGAGCTGCTCAGGCCTGAGGCTGTAGGGCATCCCCAGCAGCTAGCAACAAACCCGAGCGTCCAGGGCAAATCCTCCCGCTAGGGCGTCCAGGGCTGCCCCCCCATCCGGTGCAGAGGCCTCTGGTCCTGCCCTGCTCCTCCAGAGTGCTGTGCGGGGCACCAAGGTGCTGGAAGCTGCTGCCGACCACCAAGACCAAGGTCCCCGCTCTCGGTCACCATCCTCGCTGGGAGCAGGACCAGCAGGGGCTCCCAAGGAGGCCCACCTGGGCCTCAAGCCTCTTTACAGCTGCCCCCAGCACCTGCTACAGGGCCTGGCAAACAGGAGGGGCCACATGAGCATTTGGAGAGACACCAGGGACAGAGATTCCCGAGAGTCCCCTGCCCCAGGACTGCCACCTGACCTCCGTCCTTGGCCAAGGGGCCAAATGACCAGCTGGAGCTGCAGCCCTCGGGCCCCTTCACTGCAACGGGCCTGCCCATCTGTGTCCGTGGGAGCCGCACCCATTTCTCTCCCCACCGCTTCACCAGAGCCCAGGCCTGTCCCTCAAGCCCAACAAAACCCAGCAAATGCCCTCTGAGTCCTCCTTTTACAGGTGGGGAAACTGAGACCCAAACAGGACCACAAACGAGCCTCCTGGTGGCCTGCTTATCTGTTCAGGCATCTACTAAGGGTCCGCTGTGTGCCCGCGATGAGCGGACGGGCCCTCCCCAGAGGCTGCAGCCACAGGCCATGGGGAGTGGAGGAGGGACTGAGTCCGCCTGGGGGACAGAACGATCTTGTTCTGGGTGAGCTTCCAGAGAAGCGTCGCAGGGATGCAGGGACGCACACCTGTCAGGCACGTGGTGGGGGGCAGCCTGGCGGGGCAGCGCCCGCCTGGCCTAAGGCTCACGGGAAAGGAGCAGGGAGGGAGGTGTGAGCTGGGCCCCTCAGCCAGCACCACCGGTGCCTCCAGGCAAGTGCCATGGGATCTGCGAGGGGCCGGGTCGGGCAGTGGGTGAGTCCAAAGCGCAGGCTGGGAAGGTTCCGGTGGCAGAGGCTGCTCAGGTTTGTGGGGGCTAAGGTCTAGCAGAGGGCAGAGTGGGGGGGCACTCCAGGTCCAGCCTGGTGCCTCCAGAGGAGAAGAGGGTGAGGTCTAAGGGCCAGGCCCCAGGGCCCCGACAGGTGCTGGGCCAGCCACTGGTGGTGGGGGGAGGCCCCTGCATCTCCCCAGAAGGCGGCCAGGACAGACAGGCCTGGGCGTGACCCAACCCCGCCGTACCTCCGTTTCCCTTTCTGAAAACCTTGTCCAGGAGATGGGAAATAATGAGCGCCGAGCCTGGGCTCCCGGCAGGTGACCTCCCGGCCGCCCTCTCCACTGCCCCGCCTCGGTGTCCCCTCCCGCCAGCCCCGCCGCAGCCTCACCTCCCACGGACCCGGCGTCCGAGTCCGAGACGTGCGTAATGGAGAAGCGGGACGCGGGCGCGGGCGACACGGTGAAGCGCGAGAAGGGGCCGGGCGCGGCCGGCTTGGGGGGCGCGGCGGGGGCGGGCAGGGCGGCCTCCGGGGCCGGCGTCGGCGGGAAGCCGTCGTCCCACGCGAACCCTCGGCCTGCAGGCCCACGGCGCAGTCACTCGCGTCGCGGACGTCACGGCCCCGCGCGGCAGGCCCGCCCCCCGCCCCCCGCCCGTGACGTTGCACCCCCCACCCTGACATCACACCCTCCCGCAGGCCCCGCTCCCGCCCGTGAAGTCGCGCCCCGACAGGCCCCCGCCCCCAGCTCACCCTCTTCGGCCACGGAGGCCGCGGAGCCGTCGGAGGAGCGGTCCGCCCGGCGCGGCCGGCCGGGGGCGCCGGGGGTGCGGGGGCCGCCCGCCAGGAACGCGGGGGGCGACTCCTTGGCGCCGGGGAAGGGCTCCCCGAGTTCCCGGGTGGGGCTTTCCTGGAAGGTCAGAGCAGCACATGGCCGGGTCGCCAGCGGCTCCCAGGGCTCCCCATCCCCTGGGGGACCCACACCCCCCGCGCAGAGCCCGGAGTGGCCGCCCACCTGGTCGAAGAGGTAGACGGTGACGTCGTCGAAGAAGGACACGGCTTTCTTCTTGCGCTCCAGGTCCTCGCAGAAGGCCTCAGACAACAGGCTGGGCATCTTGAGCAGGCTGCGCAGGTTGCGCGCGCTCTGGCTCTCGGCCACCACCACGGGCACCGGGGGCGCCTCCTCCTCGCTCTCCTCGCTGGGCTCCTGGATGCTGTAGCAGCGCAGCTCCTCATCCGACTCGTCGCTGTCCTCGCTGTCCTCCTCGTCCTCCTCCGACCGGCCCTCCGGGGCTGCAGGCAGTCCCGGCGAGGCCAGGCAGAGTGGGGTTCTGGGGGCGCGGGGGCCCCCCGTCTGATCCTGCTGGGCTGGCCCAGAAAGCAGTCCTGGGGCATCCTGGAGGTCCGGGCGGTGTCTCTCTGAGCTCGGTGGGACTGGGGTCAGCAGGAAAACCTTGGAGCGCTGGGGGCTGGGCCCTGGAGGCCCTTGCGCAGGGCCTTGGGGCCAGGGAGCCTCCAGTCTGGGGCTCTCTGGGCAGGTGCTGCTGGGCTCTGGAGAAGAGTTGTCTGGCGGTGGCAAGAGCAGCGGTGGCACCTCCTTGGGGCCAGTGCCCTGTGCCCCCCCGGGAACCCCAGACTCAGGGGAGGGCTGTGCGGACTGCAGCCCAGGGCTCTCCAGGTCCAGCTCTAGCCTGCAGGCCAGGGCACATCCTCCCTTCTCCTGGGGGCCCGAGGTGGACTCGGGCTCCGTATCGAGGTCGGAAAAGTAGGCTGAGTCACGGTAGGGGTTTTTCTCGCCAAGGCTTCCAAGGGAGGTGGAGAGCTGAGTCTCGGGCCCGGGGCTCTCACCCTCAGAGACCAGCTCCCCAAAGGCCTCGGGCTCACAGGGCTCATGTGCTTCCTTGAGCACAAACTCAGGGGACTCGTAGTTCTCCGTGTCATAGCCACTGTCCAGGGCTCGGGGCTGCCCGCCAGGAGTGCCAGTAACTGACGGGCTGAAGACCTCACAGCCGCCACCATCGCTGGCGGAAGGTGGGATATCCAGGGAGTCCATGGAGTCGGGGGTCCCCACCTGCTTCTGCAGGGAGCGGAAGGCCAGCGTCACGTCCGGCTTCTCCGCTGGCAGGCCATCACTGGCCACATTGCCGGGAGTGGCCTCTGTCATGCCCTTGCCCTCACTGACTGGCTCTTCCAGCTCAGGGGAACCACTGCAGCTGTCCAGGCCCTGGGCTACCTCAGAGGCAGCCTCCCAGCCACCAGCAGGCACGGGCAAGGCAGGCAGGGCGGCGAAGCCACTGGCCTCCTCGGCAGGAAGCAGGGCTCCCTCTTGGGACGGGGCTGGGATGGAGGGAAGGGGCCGTTGAGGTCTGGCAGAGCCCTCAGCCTCCTCAGCAAGCCTGGGCTCTGTCTGGGGGCTGTCACCCCAGCTTATGGCCGCCTGTGTCCGGGAGGATGGCACCAGGCAAGTGGCAGGTGCCAGGCCCCCAGCAGGACACAGATGAGGGAGGCCCAGGCAACGGCCGAGCTCCTGGCCAGAGGAGGCCCCCTGTGGCCCAAGGAGAGGCTCTCTGGTGTCCTCCATGGCCAGGGGACAGCCCAGCTCAGGGACGGCCTGTAGGGTGTGGTCTGTGCTGGGGCAGCAGCCCATGCAGCCACCCACATATCCCGGGTCCCAGGAGCCTGGTGCCCGGCTGGCACTGTTGTTGTTAGTGGACACGTTAGAACTCCAGTGTCTGCGCTGGGCAGCCCTGCATTCCTCCGCCTCCCCCATCTCCTCCCCACCCGGGGACAGCTGGGCCCCAGAGCTCCCCGGGGGGGACGTGCCCAGCGGGTCCTCCAAGAAGGGTGGGCAGAAGGCAGCTGAGCCCCAGTCGCCATCCTCCTCCCTGGGCTCCGCCGGCATGCGGGTCCCCGGTGAGGGCGCGCTCAGGGTGCGGGGCGGGCCCCGGGCATGGCTCCCGTGCAGGTAGTAGTCACAGTGGCCCCAGGGCCCCCCAGGGGGCAGCCCACGGCCCAGCAGCGGCTCCACGGCCAATGAGGCGTCCGCGCCGCCCTCAGAGTCGTCCTGGTCAGCGCCACTGGGGAGCAGGTCCACGGCGTGGGGGCCGGGGGTGCAGCCGGCGCAGTCAGGATCGTGGCCAGCGGCGGGTGTGGGCTCCTCCAGCCGGATGAAATACTCGCTACCCAGCGAGGGGCTGTGCGCGCTGAGCACGGGCACCACGCCCGGGGGCGCGCCGTCGGGGGCGCAGAGCTCCTGCGGGCGCGCGGCGCGGCCGGGGCTCGCTGCGCCCCCTGGCGGCGGGAAGGCCTCGGCCCCGCGGCCCGCTTCCCACTTGCACTCGAAGTTGAGGCCGCGGCTCGTCTCCGTCACCGTCAGCACGTCATCCCCGTCCGCATGGAAGCCGTCGCCCGCGAACTGCTCCAGCAGCGGGAAGGACGAGGCGGCCGCAAGCTCGCCCGTGCCCCCCAGAGCCAGGCCTGCGAGCCCGGGGCCCGCGCCACCCCCACCCGGCCGCAGCGAGCGCCAGCGCCGCTCGAACTCTTCCTCGGCCTCCGTGGCGCCCTTGGCGCAGAGGTAGGACAAGAGCAGGTGCACCTCCTCGGCCGTGGGCCGCTGCTCAGGCTGCAGCCAACAGAACTGCATCACCTCGTACCTGCGGGAGGGAGGCCTGGGCTCAGCCCAGCGGGCCCCGCCCACCCCAGCCCCACCCGGCGCGGCCCAGCCAGGACCCCAGTCCCCGGAGGGACGAGCAGACCGCCCTCCGCAGGAAGGGCTCGTCCCCTTCCACTCAGAGTCCCTTAAGGACAGGGAAGAGAACCTCCGACTTGTTATGGGAGACCCCAAATCTTGGGCTCCGAGGTTTGGGAGCCCTCAGTGGGCGGAGCACCCTTCTCAGCTCATCTCCACCCCGGCTGCAGGTGAGTTTGTGTTTGGGGTAAAGAGACCGCTTCCGTGGGGGACAACAGGATAGGTCCCAAAGGTCACTGCTGGCCAGAGGGGAGCCAGCGTGAGCCGGAAACCCAGGCGGTCAGACTCAGAGCACTGCCTTGGTCTTGCCCTTCCTGCTGGGGCCCCTGCACCCGGCCTGGCCTCACAGGTCCTCACCAGCGGTCGGACAGAGTCAGCTGCAGCTGGGGCTTGGGGAGCTTGAGCTGCTGCTCCCGGACGGCGTAGGCCAGCACCTGCCGGTCGGAGTGCTGGGGGTAGGGTTGTGCGCCCAGCTCAAAGAGCTCCCAGATGCTCACGCCCAGGGACCTGCCGAGGTGACAGCCATCGGGGGGATCTCAGAGCCTCGGCCACCACAGGGCAGCTCCCGTCATCACACCGGCATCCTAGGGACGCCCCCCAAAGGACAGCCCCTTCCTTCCGTCAGCTGGCAGGACACGCCCCCCCGGCGAGGCCCAAGTCTGTGCCCAGGTCATCTAGGCAAATAACAGCCACACAGGCCTTTCCACAAACCCAAGTCCATTCACTTGCTCACATATTCACTCCGCAGCCACGGTGAAGGCCAGACACCGTAGCAGGGCTAACAGCTACCAGGGTGAAGCTCTCGGTCCTAGGGTACCGGTGGGCCCAGGGAACGGGCAGGGGCAGCCGGAGCATGCAGGGTTCCGTCCAGTGTGCTTCACCCAGCTCCCTGGGACCCCACCCAGGCTGCCCCGGGAGACCAGGAGCACGAGGAACAGATCAAATGTGGCAACAGACGAGTCAGGTGGCCTGGACCAGAGCCGTTTGGAGGACCCCCGTCAGCGTGCAGCAGGCCGGGCCAGTGGGGGAAGCGAGGGGATGGAGCGGTGATGGACTGTGGGTAAAGGCCTCGGGTGTGCTCAGGAAGGAGGGGGGTCCACGGATCCAGGCTCTGAGGGCTCACTGGGAGCGGAGGGACACCAGACGGGCCTGGGAGCTGGGCAGCAGGTGGGGTGGGGAGGAGAGGCTAGTCAGGGACAGAGACCACCATGGCAGAGCCCCCGGAGGCTGAGTACTGGGTCTGAGTGCCCCCTCTGTGCCCTGCTTGGCTCTGGGTGCTCAGGATGGGGGGGCGCCTCCAGATTACGGTCACAGGAGCGCTCCAGCCCCCCACGCAGAGAGCAGGTGCCACGCTGAGGCCCCACGTCTCATCCGGAGAGCCTGTTCCACTCCCAGCGGGCTTTCCAACCTGAACGTGGACTCGGACCCTGGCAACTTTGGGTGTCAGGGGATCCCGGGAGGGGCAGGCCCATGGACCACTGGTACGGGCAGCTGCAGGTGGCCCCAGCAGCCCCATGAACTCCCCTGGAGCCGGAAGTAACCACCTCCCACAGAGCAACGAGGCTGGACAGATAAGCGTGTCATCGCACAAGTAAGGCAGGTGGGGCTCGGGGCCTGCTGCCCGGCGGGCCTGCGGGCCCCGTGCCTTCGCCGGACATGCACGTGCAGGTAGCCCAGCAGCCACAAGGTCAGGCGGCACTGGACGACAACCAAGGCAAGGCCTGCGTGCGTGTCCCTGCAGCGCCCCCGGGGCCCTCACTCCCCTCCCGGCCCCCGCTCGCCGCCCGGCTCTCACTCACCACACGTTGCTGGCCTTGGTCTGGTCCACCACCAGCAGGTTGCAGTGCACCTCGTCCACCAGCTCGGGCGCGATCCAGCGCAGCGGCACCCACAGCTGGTCGGCCGTCACGAAGTAGTCCTCCTGCGGGCACAGGGGACAAGGCTACCACGGGCTGCCGGGCGCTGGCCCTGACCCCCAGCTCGGCCCCGCCGCCTTACCCTGTATTTGCCGTGGGACAGGCCATAGTCGCCGATTTTCACTGTCAGGTCGGCCGTGAGCAGGCAGTTCCTCAGGGCCAGGTCACTGGAGGGCGGGAGGGGGGGGGTCAGTGGCAGGGCCAGGCTGGGGGCATCCGGGGCACAGAGGGGCTGGACCGCTTGTCGCCGAGGGCATTGTCACGAGTGGGCGGGAAGGGGCATCTGAGCGGCAGCCTGTCCGCCCGTGGCCCCAGGCCCTCGCCGGGCACCGGGTGCGCTGGAGGGCTCACGTGGACAGGGCCTCAAATGTCACAGTCTGGAAGAGGCCGGAGCGTGCCACGGGGCCCTCAGCGAAGGCACGGCCCTCCCATTGCTGGACCTCCCTCCTGACCTCAGCTGTTGCCCCTGCTTCTTTCCCACCAGCCCGCTAAGCCACCCCTCGGAGGCGAACCAGCCAGGGACACTGCAGTCCTTCTTCCCGCCCACTATCCCCTCACCCTCAGCAGTGGGGACCCTGAGATCCCAAGTCTCCCAGGGGATCCTGACCCTGCCCGGCTCACACAGGGCTGGGCCCCCCTCCTGTCCCAGGACAGGGCAGAGGCGGGGAGTGACCCCACCCCCACTGCAGGACAGTGGCTGGCCTTGGGCTGTGGGCCTCTCCCCTGCCTGCTCGGCGGCCACAGGGCTGTCTGGGGGCCCAGGGCACTACGGCAAACGTGGGGTCAGCACACATCCACCAGGGGCCGCGGACGGGCCTGTGCTCGGGGCTGGGTGGGCCCGGCGGGCAGGTCGGGAGGCTGGCAGCTGCCCTCTTCAACAAAATCACTGATGCTGGAGTTACATGTGTCATCACTCAGCACCAGGATGTTGTTGGGGAGGACGGCCCGTGCGGCGTCCGGGGGCACCGGGACGTGGCTGGGGAGGGCGGCCCGTGCGGCGTCCAGAGCTGGCGGGGCACCCTGGTCCATCTGGGCCAGGGTGGGAAGCAGGACAGAGCCAACCCGCCCCCGGGGGGCCTACAGGACACAGAGGCGAGCAGGGGCCAGTGTGGGGCCACCGGGTGGCTCTGGCCGCCCCAGGGTCAGAGGATGGGCCTTGGGCCTGACGTCCTGCCGAAGCAGGTGTCCGCCGCACCCCCTCGCCCCCGTCTGTCTTCCATTTCAGCAGATGCCTTTGCACCGCGGTCCCTAAAGGCTGAATAAAGACGAACCCAGCGAACCCTCACACAACCCCCAAGGCTGGTGCTGTTTGTGCAGGGGCAGAGGCCGCAGAGAGCCAGCAGCCCCGCCCCGCCTCACCTGTGCACGTAGTTGTGACGATGCAGGTGCAGGACCCCACAGGCCAGCTCGCAGGCCATGCGCTGCAGGGTGAGGGGGTCGGGCGCCATGGACTCCGCCACCCGGCAGCTTCGCAGGTAGCCCTTGAGGTCCCCCTGCCAAGAGGGGCGGCATCGTCACCGGCCGGCGGGGAGCAGGGACCCCGTGAGCCCGCCACCCCACCCCTCCCTCCCCACATAGGGCCTGCTGACAGCGGCCCCCCCACCCTGAGTCTGCCCCCCAGTACAACCCCACGGGCAGAGGGCGCTTTCTCTGCGGTCCCTGCAGACCACGTCCTGGGTACAGACCACCGGGCCCATGTGCCTGCCAAGCAGACAGGCCACATGAGCGGCGACGCTGAGCCTGGCGGGAGCACGGGGCAGAGGACCCGACGGCCCGCTGGCGATCCCTGACCTGCTGACACCTCCCGGCTCCAGAAAGGGCCCAGCCGTCCTGGGGAAGCCCCAGGAGGTCACGGCAGCAGACAGTGGGGGCCCGGGGGGCATCTTGCAGGTGGTGTCACACCCCGGGGAGTTAAACAGGCCACGTGAGGCCTAGGAGGCGGAGGTGAGCGGCTCACAGGAGAGCCTCTCTGCCGTGGACAGGCGGCTGGGCTGACCCTGGAGTGCAGCAGGGTCGCGGACGCAGCAGCCGAGATTACCGCGCAGGCCGCCTCGAGGAGGCCCCAGGTCCCACTGCGGGGGGAACGTAGGGCCCACAGGATGGCGACGAGGGCTCCCAGCTCAGCCGATCAGCCGATCAGCCTCTCAGCCTCGTGGGGAGGCTGGGCCCTCCTGCTGAGCAGCCTGCGCCGGGGCGGGGGGGGGGGCGGGGGGGGCCGGTGCAGGGGGGCGGCACTCACCATGGGGCAGAACTCCATCACCAGCAGGTGGGGCGTCGCCTCCGCGCACTGCGCCAGGCACTGGATCAGGTTGCTGTGCTGCAGGGCCCTGGAGGAGCCAACAGGCGGCCCTCCTGACTGGGACTCAGGGCAGGAGGGGGCGAGGGGGCGGGCGGGGAGGGGGGCTGGCTCTGCAGGGGTGGGGGAGGAGCAGGGCAGCACAGAGCTTGCCTTTGTTCCCAGGGCCCCCCACAAGCCCGCCCGGGGCCACCCACCTGTAGGGCTGAGCCTCCTCCAGGAACTGCGCCTGCTCCTGCACGCTAGCACTGGCCTTCAGCTCCTTCACCACCACCTGCGTGCTATTGAGGCCCGAGTTCACCTCCCCCAGGAACACCTGTGGGGGCGGGCGCAGCCTCCATCCGTGCTCCTCCTCGCTAACCCCGCCCAGCCCCGAGCCTGGAAGCCTCGCTTTGCTCCTCTGCAAGAGGGGTTCCCCTCCCGGCCGTAACATTCTCTCTTGTGTGGGCATCCCGAGGCCCCCAGCTGTTCTCAGCTCTCTCTGGGGGTCTGCCGTGAGGAAGAGGGGACCCCCAGGCCCTGGGGATCAGGGAGAAGCCAGGGCGAAGACACTGTCCCTCAACCCAGCCCTCTCAGAGGTGCCTCCCAGCATCGGATCCCAGGGCCTGCACAGAAGGGACATCCCAGGAGGGGACAGCAGGAAACGGGACCCCAGGGCTGGGGCGGCCCCCAGGAGAAGCAGGTCTCCACCCTGCCCCTCTGCCTGCCAGGCAAGAGAGGGGGCCCGCGGTGTCAGCATCCCCCATCCCCCTACCCAGGGTCAGCAACTCACCTTCCCGAACCAGCCGTGGCCCACCTCCTCCAGGTACAAGAGGCTGTGCCGGCCCAGGTCTGTGGACCTGAGGAGCTGCACTGTAACAGGGCGGGGGGCTCAGGGACCCCAGCTCGGGCTGTCGCTGCCCCCATCTGCCCTTCCCGGGCCCCTCCAGAGGCTGCCCACTCAGCCTGTTCAGGGGAGCTGCCCTAAGCCCCCCAGAGTGGGGCCACGGCTGGGGACTGCCATCAGGAGCCGGGTCCCTGTTGCCCCAGGGAGCCGTGGGCCTGCAAGCCGCATCCGGGCATCTTTCTGGGTGGGTCTGGGAAGGCTGGTCCCTAAACTACAGGGACACGCCAGGCTGAAGACGACGGGGCCTGGAGCCAAGACCGGCGCACAAGGCAATGCCAGGCGGGCAGTGTGGCCGGGGCCAAGCCGGTGGGGAGGAGGGCACCCGAGCGGCCCGTCCCCTCACCCCTGCCACAGGCTGGCATTCCAGCACCAGGCTCGCCAAAGGCTCCTTTGTCGGAGGCTGCTTGGCACAGCTCTGTACGGAACACACTGGGCCCATTCTCCTGCAGCCCGAGCTGGGTGAGGTCAGCAGGGAGGAAGGGCCAGCGAGGGCCCCGGAGGAAGGGCCAGGGCTGCCGAGCCCACTCACGCCCCGTGCCCCAGGGATTCCCCGAATTCTGCTCCCACACCAACCGCCCTGAGGGCATAGGGGGACAGGGCTGGGCCTAGAACGCCAGGAGCGCCCCAGGGATGGGGGGCTGCTCCCGGGGAATGTTGACCTTGATGCTGAGTGGTATTTAGGGGGTCCCACTGGGCCCTGAGCCTCAGGGTTCCTCCCCCGTACCATCCTCCACAGTCTCGAGGGGTGGCCCTTGTCACTCAGGTTTTTAACCCTTGATGTCCACGTGGGCTGTCCCCCCACATCACCTGAAATCTCTCCCCTCCCCAGAAACGGGGTACCCTGCAGATCTGCGACATGAGCTACAGAAATGGAGAAAGCAAGCAGTTGCTGCTGTCTCCTGGCCCCGGATCCCCACCCTCAGGGACAGCCCCCTGAGGGGTGGGAGAAGCCTGGGTCCCGGACACTGCCTGTGGGCAACAGGCCCAGGCTGGGGGGGGAGCAGTGTCCCCTGGGGTGAGCCCCGGATCCCCACTAGTGACCAGTGTCCAGGGTCGGCACAGGCCCAGAGACCCCCCACGGCCATCCAGGAAGGTCCCGGGGCCTCCTGCAGCAACATGCCTCCCTTCAGGGGTTTAGGGGCTGTTTAGCTATGCACATGCCCTCGAGCCCCAGGCCCTGGCTCCTGCCTGACCGCTGATGTCCCCCCCAGGAGACACTGGCTGGGCAGTGGGGGGTGACACCCTGGTGGCCCCGGGGGCTGCTCTGAGGACCCAGACCAGGGCCTTGATGACGTCCGGGCTTCCGAGTGGGCAGCATCCAGGTCATGGGCCTGAAGGTGTGGAACCGAGCAGGTGGGAAGGGCCTGCCCATCATCAGCACCACAGGCCTGGTGCCCCCTAAGCCCCCGCAGGGCCTGACGCCTTCCCTCGGTGCTGTGGGAGGGGCTGGGGGTCAGCACGGGCCTAGCCTAGGAGCTTCCAGGGAGAGGACCTGAGATTAGGCTGCCACGGAAGCCCCACCCCCACAGCGAGAGGTTCCCACAGCACCAGCCTCAGGAAGATGGGTTCAAAGGCCAGCCGGACACTGACCTCTACTCTCTCAAGCTTGGACCCACATCTGCCCTGCGGGTGGTCACCCTGGTGGGGGGCGGGCGGAGGGGGGAGAGCCCAGGATGGGGAACAAATGGGAGACAGGGCAAGGAAGCCATGGGAAGAGGCCCCTGCCTGCTCCCCAAGGCCCAAGTCAAAGGCCCATTCAGGGCCCTTCCCACAGAGGGGGCCCCAAGGAGCCCCTCCTCCCTGAGTAGGTGGGTCCCGCCCACTGGGCACAATGGAGCCCATGTCCCCGCGTAGCCGGCGCTGTGGGGGTTGTCTGGGGTCCGGAATCCAGGGACAGCAGAGGAGTCCCTTGTCCCTGGTGCTCGGACTGCCCCTTTGCACAGCAGCCCCTAGGTGGGGGAGGTGGCGGGCAGAAGGCTGACCCAAGCCTGTCCACAGTGCCCCTGCTCCCACCAGAAGGGGGCACCTCCCAGCCCTTGGCCGCCCTCTCCCTGGGAGCACTGACTGCTGAGTCCGGAGGCCAGGCCAGACCCTGAGTCACTCCTTGTGCTCACCGCCCGGGCCTCTCTGGGGGGTTCACTCACCTGAGCGCCCCGGCTGCTTGGCCATGGGCAGGGAGACCTCGGTGAGTGGCAGGACATACACGTCTGGCCCGTTCTGAGCCCCTGTCGCAGGGGAGCCCTGTGCCGAGAAGCCGGCGGCGTACTCGTCCCCCTCGGCATTCTCAAACTCCTGCAGCGGTAGGTGGGCGCCCGGCGGGCAGTGACTCCAGCGCTCCAGGGATTGGGGGGCAGGGCCGAGGGGTGCAGGCCCAGCTCAGAAAGGACCGAGCTCTCACCTCTTCTGGAGCTGGGGGTGGAGCGGGCTGGGAGCCTGACCCAGAGTTGGGGCACCTGCTAGCCGCCCCTTCCACCCAACCTCTCACTGCTCAGGGCAGAGAACGCACCCCGCTCCCAGCCCCCTTCCCCCCAGAGGCACCAGCCGCCCGGAGGGCCAGAGAGCTGGCCTTTGTCCTGCGTTGATTGTAGGGGAGGGTGATCTTCCTCCCAAAGGCATGGGGAGGGGGCCCTCAAGCACGGGGCACCTTGCCCAGCCCAGCCCACCCCCAACAGCAGGCAATGCTGGCCCACATGGGCAGGGGTGGGGCCCGAGGCAGGAGACCAAGAGGCCCATCCTGTCTGCCCCAACTCCTCTTTGCCACCCCTCCCCTCAACAGCCAGTGATCCCAACCTCAGAGTCAGGGCTGGGGAACAGGAGCTCCATCACCCACCCCCCAGCCTGCCCCTTCCAGGCAAGGAGCATTCCTGAGTGCCCAGAACAAGGAGCCCTCCCCCGTCTCCAACCCTAGGCCAGGCACCCACAGCCCTCCACAGCCATCTGCCTGCAGGCTGCCCTGGACCTTGACCCAGGCGGGGTCTGCTCCCAGGGCTCCTTAAGAGCCTGGCCCTGCAGCCTGGGGCTGGGCCCTACCTGGCCGGACTGCTATTTTGAAATGCGGTTGGTGCACCTGTCTATGGGGAAGACCCATCCCCCCAGGTCCAGAGCACACTCCAGAGGAGAGCCAAAGTCTCATAAATCCTCTCCTACTGAAACAAGAGCAGCTCCCATCCCTGGAGCCCACAAGCCCGCTGCCCAGGTGGGGAAACTGAGGCCCAGAGCCCTCCCCCTCATGTGGACAGATGGGTGGACCGGGAGCCAGGGGGCTTAGGTTTGTCCCTTGGCCCTGCGTGCCCCGGGGATGCTCCTTCCTCCCAGAAGCCCTCTGCTGGCATCCCTGTGGGCCAGTCGTGGTCCCTACCCAGAGAGGGGGAAGGGGACCAGTGCCTGCGATGCTTCCGCTCACCGGGGCCCGGAGCCCACCCTGGGGGCCCTGGGGTATCCGCAGCAGCTGCAGCTCCATCCGCTCCCATCAGACCCGGCCCTGGCCCCAGCCCATACCTGAGGGTGCCGCCTGGCAGCCCGCCGGATCGTGCCAGCAGAGCGGGCGATCAAGTAGGACAGCGTGAGCATCGCCGCCCGGACCCTTCACCCAGCAAGCTCCACGGGGTGCCCAGCCCTGGGCCCCCAGAGACCAGGCCGAGCCCCTGGTGCAGGCAGGCCCGCCCACCCAGGCGCGCTGGGGCTGGAATGTTCTGGGCACCATGTTCTCCAGGAGGTGAGGAGGGCACGGGTAGGAGGGGCCGAGGCTGGCCTTTGTTTGGGGCCTTGTTCTCGCAGCGCCCTGAGGGGGGGGCTGACCTATACCAGGTCCCCCACGCCCACCCCCATGACCTCGCAGCTCTGGCCCCAGGATCCTGCCGGGCGCGCCGCGGTGTGCCTGCAGGTCAGGAAGACAGCTTCCGCAGGGCAGGGCGCAGGGAACGTGGGCAGGGGCACAGACCCTGCAGTCCCCAGGGCCACAGCCCTGCCATGGAGCCACTGAGGATCTGGGAGGGCAGCCTCTGCAGGCCCCCCCTGTGACACGGCGCTCCGGAGCAGAGGGGCTGTTTCTCTAAACTGGGAGTGACACGGCCGGGGCGTGGGCCACTTAGTATGGACGTTGATGGGGGCCACAGGACGGCCCGCCCCTCCTAAATTCACCAGGCCCGGGAATCTGCCCTCCAGCTGTGGCGGGGGGGGCGGGGGACGGGCATGGAATGACCACAGGCCAGCGCACTGTTTGCTAAGTCGGCAAGAACTCAGCCCACGTGGGTGGGGGGGGCGGTGGATGTTGCCTCTGGTCGGGGTTCTCAGCCGCCAACTTCTCCGCCTGGTCCTCCCCTCTCAGAGCTGCAACTGGACATTGGGGGGCAGCCCCCCAGGGATGCCCCTCAGCCACCATCCTCAGGAGGGGCCTCAGCCCTAGAATCCAGCCCAGGCCCCTTGGGAATGGAATCCGGGGCGGGGGCAGACTTAGTGAAGACAGTGCATTTAGCCGAAGCTCCGTCACTCCGGAAGTTCCTAGAACCGGCACACAGCCCCCTCCCTGTGGGGTAAAAGACGCCCAAAGGAAGGTGACTCCAGCAGGCAGGGTGGTTTTTTGTGCGGGGGCAGCATGTCTGGGCGGCTGCTGGTTCGAGTAATTGGGGGCACTTCTTCCACCAGGAAGTCAGGGGCCTCCGGGGAAGCGAGCTCCCTCCCACACTGGCTCAGGAACCCCCGGGGCCCCCTGCAAGAAGGCCCATCCTCACTGTCCCAGAGTGCCCAAACTGCACAGCACTCAGAGGCCACGTCCACACAGAGGGGACCCAAAATGGGGGAGATAGTGGGTGGGGTCCCTGAAAGCCTCCAAGCCCCTCCTGCTCGCAGTAGCCCCCAGGGGAGAGGCTGTGGGGTCCCAGGTCTATATGGTCTGCAGGTGACTCCAGGAGGGGGGAAGCTCAGCACTGAGTGGGCACAAGAGGGCCTGACTCTTGGGATCCCGTCCACATCCCCCTCGGACCCCCGAGCCCTCACCTTGAACCCGATGCCACCCTTCTTACAACACAGACAGGCCAACATGAGGGCGATGACAGTGAAGAGCCCGGAGAAGGACACGGCCACCACAGCCAGGGAGGACGACCAAGAGAGCTCGCTGAGGGGGGCGCCGTCTGCCAAGGAAGAGGGGGTTACAGGGCAGACTCCACAGACCTGCTCCCCCATGCTCACCCTGACCCAGCAGCTGCACCCAGGGGCCAGCCGAACCCCTGACTCCCCAGCCCACCCAGACTCACAGAGGCCTGAACCTCAGCACCCTGACCCCTTGCTCTGAGACCCGCCACATCTGCCACCCACGGCCCGGTCCCCAGGCTCAGAGCAGGTGGACCTGCGGAGCCGCCCCCGCAGCCCTAGCCTGCAGTTCCCAGAATGGCCACTGGGCGCCGCTCTGGCCTCACTCAGAGGATACGGGGTTGGCAAAGCGGCGGAGCCTCCCCAGGTCCCAATTCTGGGGCTCACAGACACCCCTCCAAGACGTCAGGGTCTCGGGGGCCATGGGAAATTGCCCTCCACGTCTCTTCTAGACTCTGGTCACCCCGCCTCCCCAGGGGCGGTCACCTTGCCAAAGCTCTGAGTGCGGTAAACCCTGCAAGAACCCCAAGGGGCCAGGAGGAAGACTGGGCCCCGCTGAGTGGGGGAGATGTCGGGGCTGGCCGCATGCCAGGCTCTGTGCGACCGGGGGTCAGCGCCCTGAGACAGGAGGGTTGTCTGGTCCCTGAGGCCACGGGGATCCCACTGTCCCCAAGAAGGGGGCACCACACTGGCTAGGCACAGAGTTCCTGCATGCAGCCTGGCACGTCCAAGTTACCCTCTTGCTGAAGTGACCACCAAGGGCCCCCCGATGCTGTTTCTGTCCTGGGAAGAGCGGGGACTCCCCATCCTGCGGCACCAGGTCCACAAGAGCCCCCGCACGGCTGACCCTCACCAGATGCGGGAACGGAGGAGTCCGGACAGCATGACAGGCTCCCCGATGCGTAAGGATGGCCCCCGAATTAGGGCTCTGGGCCGCCCCCACCCCCCAGCTGAGCCAGGGCTTCGGGGAGCCCGGCTCGTCTGCTGCTCACCAGATAGCCCAGGTGTAGACAGAGGCAGGCCTGCCCCTCCTGTCCTGTCACGCTGGCTGAAGTGCACGCCCTGCCCCAGAGACCTCTGTCTGTCCATCCTCCGTGTGGCCCCTGGAGGTTTTCTGCCTTCCCACCAAGCACCCCCATAGCTGACCCCTCAAGACCCCGCCACCCAACCCAGCACGCCTGCCATGCCAGGCCCATCAGTTCAGGTCAGACCTGGTCTCAGCGAGACCTCATGGGGTCCTAACTGGCCACTGAGGTGACCCCCCAGGCCTGTCCCCGCTGGACAGGAGGAAATGAAGGCTCAGCGAGAGCGAGGAGCCTGCCTAAGGTGGCACAGCTGACCCCTGACTGATGTGCTTCTGCTCCCGGGCCTTCTGCACGCACATAGGAAGCCAGGGCTGCAAGCTAAGCTATCTGGGAGGGCTGCCTGGAGGCAGTGTGAGCCTAAGGGCCTAGAAAGATGGCAAGCACAACCTAGACTCCTGCTCAGGTCTCCAAGCCCGTTCCCTACACCCACACACAGGGAAGAGGGGCCCAGGTAGTTGGGGCCGGGCGGGGCTGGGGGGCAAGGAGGGCAGGGTCACCATGGCAAGGGAAACCAGCTCAGCCTGCCCCAGGGGGAGACCTGCATGGAGGGCAGCCACAGGCCCTGTCCCCGTGCCCAGAGGGGCCCCAGGCAGATACCCTCACAGGGCCTCTGAAGGCCACTTGGGGTGTGGGTGTGTGGAGGTCCCTCACTGGGCTCCCACACCGCACAGCACACAGCCCACAGGCGGCGGCCCACTGCAAGTCCGCCCAGGGCCAAAGAGCCCCAGCTCCCCGCACCCCAGGAAGCAGCCAGTGCTCAGGGATGCAGCCCTGCCACAGGGATCCATCGGGGGTGCAGCACACGCCCCTCCCACTGCCTCCACTGCACACAGGCTCCTGCACTCCCTCCCCTGGCAGGTTCTGGAGCCTGAGGCCGGTCTTCTGGCCCACTGGGCCCTTGAGGATGGCAGCAGGCACCATGGTCCAACACCGCCTAGCCCTCGGGGCTACGCAGACTGCTGCTGGGCAGGACTACCTCAGGAGGCCCAGCCTCAGCCTCCACCCTCGGCCTCTGTCCTTGGCCTCCAGCCTCAGCCTCCACCCTCGGCCTCTGCCCTTGGCCTCCAGCCTCAGCCTCCACCCTCGGCCTCTGCCCTTGGCCTCCAGCCTCAGCCTCCACCCTCGGCCTCTGTCCTTGGCCTCCAGCCTCAGCCTCCACCCTCAGCCTCTGCCCTTGGCCTCCAGCGTAAGCCTCTGCCCTTGGCCTCCAGCCTCAGTCTCTGCCCTCAGCCTCAGCCTCCCCCCTTGGCCTCTGCCCTTGGCCTCCAGCCTCAGCCTCTGCCCTTGGCCTCCAGCCTCAGCCTCAGGCACCCTGGGCCCAAACCCCTTTAAGTGGGCCCAAACCCACTGTAGCCCAGGGGGCAGCTGTAGGAGGCAGGGGGCTGGGCCGGGGGGTTCTGGAGGAAAACCCCATGGGGGCTTCCTGGAAGCAGCAACTAGAGCTCACCCCTGCCACCCCAGAGCCTCACAGGCCGGGTGGGTCACACTTCAGGCATAAGAAGGGTTCTTTTCCATTGTTATTAGGCTTCTGCTAGAATCAGGGGTATCCACACAGAAGGGACCAGAGTGCAGCTCCTTTGTGCGAAAACACAAGCTGTAAACGCCAACACGTTTGTGAAATTAAACACGCGTGAGAAGTAACAGCAAAAGCTAAGGAGTGCGCTGCAGGCATCGGGTGGGGAGCTGCCTCCCCACCAGCGCTCCCCAGCGTCCCCCCCACCGCGAACCGGGTCCTCACTCGGCCCAGCAGAACCACCCAGAACCACCCAGCGTTCCCAGCCGCCCTCCGTCCCAGGTCCCGCCCCCGCGGCTGCGCTTGCGTGGGGACGATTTCCAGCAGGGGACCCTGTCTTGCTTGTATCCCCCACATGGACCGTGACGGGGACGGCGCAGGCCTGGCAGCCACTGTCCATGCCAGAATGGGACGCCTCCTCCCCGGCCAGGTGGCCCGAGCGCTGCGGCCAGCCGGTCATTTCTGAAGGAGGTGCAGCATTCTGTGAAGCTGCACGGCCACGTTTAGGTACAGCACCTCACACTTATTGGGCACCTGCTGTGTACCGAGCTCTCCCTTCCAGGTTGCGAAGGGGACGGAGCGTCTCCGGGGAGCTGGGTGGGAGAAGGGTGGGGAGCACTGTTCAGAACAGAACCAGGTGCCGGGCTGGGCCTCCCATAAAAGGAAAATGTGACTTGTGTTTGCCATCAGGTAAGCCGTGTCCGGGCGGGGCTGTCACAGGACGGGATCATCCCCTCCCCGCTCCCTCTCCAAGCACCTGTCCTGTGACCCTATGGGAATGAAGCTCTACTCAGGTGAAGGAAGCCAAACTGAGCAGAGGGCGAGCCCTGGCCTGGAGCTGATCACACGTGAGAAATTTGCGATCATTAAAAGTGACTCGGTGTCACCAGGAAGACGCGGGACGCCAGGGGCTGAATGAGCCGCCGAGAGCCAGGCTGGCCAGGCGGGAGTGAGGGACCATGCAGGGGTCAGCAGCTCCACCACACCCCGGGTAACCTCAGACGGATGGCGAAGTCAAATTATAGCAGCACGGAGGAGAACAGGTAGACAGCAGGTTCCTGGAGAAGAATGTTTACGCTCAAAGCAATGGAGGGAATCACAAAATATCGATGGGTTTGGCTCCATAAAAACGTGTGTTCCACACAAGCCCCAGATGAAAGGCAAATAGCACACCAAGAAAAAGGATTTATAGAACAAAGATCAAAAGACTGGTGTCCTAACTACAGAGGGCCCACAATCAGCAAAAAATAAGAAAAGCACCTTAAGACACCCCCCCACACACCATAAACAAGCCAACTAAGCAAAGCCCACAAGAAGAGGTTCAGCCTCGTCCATAATCAAAGGAGCGCGACCCGAAACACCTCGTCGGCTTCCAGAGGGAGGGCGTCCCCGGCCGCAGCCCGCGCTCCAGAGCCCGCCGCCAGGTCCCCTGTGCGCGCATCCCAGCAGCAACGGGAAAGCGGGAGAGCTGTCCCTGGGGGTCGGCCCTCCCGTTGGCCGAGTGATTCCTCGTCTGGGAATTTACACCAAGAGACTGACCGGAGGACGCACAAACCCAGAACAAAAGCGAACCTGGGAACGAGTGCGTTACCAGTGCAGACGGAAGCATGTCTCCCACAGATGGTCGTTGCGGTGACGTTTATAACAAAAAACAGCCCAAACGGTCCCCCAAAAAAGGAAGGATTACAAAAAACACTGGTATATCTGCAAAGGAAACCATAAAAAGAGAATTGAAGAAGTTTTAAACCAGGAAAGCTCAACGTCACACTTCTAACTCTAAGTTAGAAGCAGCAAGGCCTCGAGGACACGTTTGGGCGCGAGGCGTCGGTTACGTGACTGTGGGGCCACAGGCTCGGGGGTCCCCCAAACACATGCATGAGGTCTCTCAAAGGGCATACTTCAAACATGCACAGTTTAGGAGCACCTGGGTGGCGCAGTTGCTTGAGCGTCCGACTCTTGATTTCGGCTCAGGTCATGAGATCGAGCCCCACGTCGGGTTCCACACTCGGCACAGAGTCTGCTTGAGATTCTCTCTCCCCCTGCCCCTCCCCCCACTGCACTCAAACTCTCTCACAGACTTTTTCTTTCTTAAAAAAAAAAAAAAAAGACCATGCACAGTTTACTCTGTTTCAGTTCTACCTTGATAAAGTTGCAAACCAAGAGGCAGGATGCAGAACCTTTTATAATTCCAGGTCACAACTAGTTAAACAAACAAACAAAAAAACCACCTGGAAGAAAAGATCTCAAATTACGAAGAGTGCTTGTTTGGACGGCAGAATTCTTTCTAGTCGTCTGCAGTTTGTATCTCCTACCATAGACATGCAGTCCATCTAGAATCAAACGTGTATAATTTTACGTAATTATCGCTCACACTCAATCCCATCATTCCATTTTTAAGACCCCCATGGCCCCAGCATGTGCAGAATAAAGCCCTGGCATCAGT